ATGTACTCTATGATAAATATAAACTCTGGTGAATACAAAATTTTAAAAATACTTTCTTTCTTACCTAGACAGTAAACATTTTTGATAATGTAAGAGATCATTTTATTGTATTTCTCAGATGTTTGTTTATTTCCAATTTGTGAGGTGATTTGACTTTAAAGTTGTATCTATACAATATAAATTTTTTTAAAAAATGAAAAATTCAGCCATTAAACCATTTATCCTATCTTCATTGTGCCAAATGGTTAGTTTGAGGTACCTCAATAAATCCACTACCCAAGCACCATGAAGATACAGCCTAATTGAAGTTTTCACTTACAACTTGTTACGTATAATCTCATTTTAATAAATAACATTTTAGCTTAGGATTCTGTTTAGCAAAGTGCTTCCATGCTCTGGCAGATACTTGATGAATCAGCCTCAATAAATTCTATTAAACTAAAGAATCTTATAGAACAAATGTATCTACAAGGCACTGCCAGGTAGCTGTCAGGCCATTTACCAACTCATTGTTATTGGGTACATTCTTGTACCTCCTTCTCTAACTGTAGTTGTTTGCTGGAGTCTCAGTAGGGGAGATGGATGGAAATGTTGCTAGGAATGAGCAAGGAGCAGAGATGGAATTGAACTTAAAGCTAAGACTCACTGATTTCCCCAAGCCTGTCTGACTCCATTTCCTCATTTATTTCTTGTCCACACCTAAATTTTACTGTGTCCACTATTAGTGAAACAATGTATAGCCAGTTTTAAATAACCAAACAATGCTTTAGTATTATTACATTGGCACACTTGGAACAACACAGCTTCTAAAATGTACAATGCCCAGATATTTAGAGCGATCTGCCTATCACTCCAAGCACTTACTATTACCCTTTCCTGCTTAATTGTTTGCCATAGAGCTTGTCACTTCCAAACATACTGTATATTTTGCTAATTTAATTTTTGTTGTTGTCTGTCACTGCCCACTAGAACATAAACTCCACGGGAACAGAAATCTTTGTCTGTTTTTCTTACTGCTGTATTCTTAGCGTCTACAATAGGGCCTGGCACATAAATGTCACTCAAAAAATATTTGTTGAATAAATGAATGAATGAGTGAATGAATGAACCAAAAAGAATATTCCCAGATATCATATCTGATACTACACCAGCTTAGCTCATCTCTGTTAGAAATAACTGCTACTGCAGTTCTACTTCCTTTGGAAAGGAGAATGGTTAAAAAGACTAACCATCTCGTATCTCTTGCCTTATAGGGATATGTTCCTCTTTATGTCAATGCAACTGCTGGCACGACTGTTTATGGAGCCTTTGATCCGATACAGGAGATTGCAGATATATGTGAGAAATATAACCTTTGGCTGCATGTCGATGTAAGTGCCCTAACTCACAGTGTCCCCGGTCCAGTCAAAGCAGCTCTGCTTTATGATTTGCCTCAAGCTTCCTCCACTGCCTCAGCTGGCTCTGCACACCACATTAGTTCCATTCTCCTCTGGCCCCCAGCTGGCCATTCACAAATGGACATACCACAGTCCTGTACATCCTCTGGGACTCATCCAGTTCCTTATGGCCAGTTGCCATCTTTTGTGATTCATTTTAGAATATGGTCTCCATCGCCTTCTCAGGTAGCTTTTGTCTGGACAAATAGCGACAGAAAGAAATATTGATTTCAGAGAGAAAAAAAATACAAGATACAACATATAGAAAGCAGCTATGAATCTGGATGTACAGAGATGCCTTCAGTTAGCCATCTATGACACTTTCTTTAAAAAATGCATATCTGGGGTCTACAGCCATGCCACCCTGAACAAGCTCAATCCCATCTGATCTTAGAAGCTAAGTAGGGTCGGACCTGGTTAGTACTTAGATGGAAGCCCACGTAGGAAGACCAGGTACTGTAGGTCTAAAAAAAAAAAGGGATTGTAAGCTAACACAGTCCTTGGAATCTGTGAGGTCAACCAAGGGTTGCCTCGCATAAATAAATAAATAAATAAATAAATAGATAAATAAATAAGAAAGCAAGCAAGCAAGCAAGGAAGCATATGTGGTACCTGTAGGAAAAATAAGACAGTATATGAAAGGTGTCATTAACTAAGATTTAATCCCAAATCTTCCCAGAAACACAAAAGATGCATTCTCACATGTGTGACTGAGTATATACATATATATTTTTTTCTCTCTAATCTCTTATGGATGTAACTTCTGACAACTGGACAATTGGGTAATCTGCCCTACTACTCAACAAATGACTAACTTGTGTCATGTGGTGTCCCAAGCTATTCTGTAAACATGCATCAGAGTACCCACAAAAATGTCTTGCTGTGGTGGGACTTCAGCTTAGCCTGGCTGCTGCTTTCTGAGTTTTCAGGAGTCCTTAGAATTCTACCCTCTGGAGAATAAGATGGCAGCCTCTAGTCCTTTGTGTCACTAATAGAGCCGCCCTGGGGGCAAGGGTGGGGGCTCACTGAGTGTCTCTGGCTTTGCAGAGTACCTTGGGCCTTTGGGTCTTGGCACCACAGTCTCAAACCTGCTTTACGTACATCACTCGTAGTTACTCTTACTTTCATCTGGAGGAACTTTTAAAGAGGCAACAAATGATGAATAATTATAACTGCCACTCTTTGGACAATCAGTACAGGTTCCTTTTGTCAGAGAAGCTTATGTTTTTCTCCTTTACTTTCTCTCTCCTGTCTTACTAGAAATATGGAGTGCTTGGTTCTTAAATGTCGCTGTTCTCCCTCCCTCTCCTTTCTCTGTCCTCACAGGCTGCCTGGGGTGGTGGGCTGCTCATGTCCCGGAAGCACCGCCATAAACTCAGTGGCATAGAAAGGTAAGGGCCAGAGTTGGAATCTCCTTCCATTCAGGCCATCAAACATGCTGTGCTTCTGAGTCTGCTGATATCTCCAACATATTTCAATCTGGCTAAGCTCATTTTTGCTTAGTAGGCATTTATTGAGCACATATTGTATGCTAGGCACTGGGAAATCAAAAATGCAAAAATGATTGATTTCCCAGTCAAATGAGTCCTCACCTCAATGAGTTCACAATTTAGAAATAGAAAGAGAAGTAAACAGATAGTCACAGACACAATGCGATAAGCACAACAATGCAACAATGGATGTGATTGTGAGGTGCCCAGGTAGGAGAGAAGGGAAACTAAGCAGTGTGGGGATTTGGAGGCTAAATGAGGGTTTGCCAAAGGCACGGGAAGGGTCACTGATTTATTTCACTGTTCTCATTGAGCTTACTGCTGAAAAAGGGGCAAGACATTTAGTTCATTTAACTTATTTATTTTCTCGTCCACCATTCAAGTTCAGGGGGTGTGCTAAGCCAAATATGATTTTGACCTGACTCCTATGTATTGATCCCAGATGAACTCACAAGAATTCATTTATTCATTCAGCAGATATTTACTGAGCACCTATGATGAGCCACACAGGCACAGATGTGAATATTTGGTACCTGTCTTCATTCTAGACATCTGTGGCACTTTTCTAAAAAATGAGTACCTGGTATATGTAGAAAAAACAAGGCAGTATATATGGAAGGTGTTATCAACTAAGAGATTTACCCTCCCAAAGCTTACGTTCCAGTAGGCCAAATGTTTATAAATGAAGATATACTTAATCTGCCTCATAGTAAAGAAAAATAAAACAGAGTTAAATAACAGTGAGTGACAAGGCCATGCTGTTTGAGACAGGTAGTCAGAGGCCTTCCTGAGGAGGTAACATGTCAGTAGATACTGGAATAAAGAGAAACAGGAAGCAAGGATGCAAGGAGGAATGTTCTAGGCAGTGGGAAGGGCAAGTGCAAAGGCCCTGAGGCAAGACTGTTCTTGGCAAGTTGCAGGACCATCAAAGAGACCAGTGTGGTTGGAGTAAAGTAAAGTGAGAGAGGTGAGGAGACAAGGTTGGAGACTGGATGGAGAATAGGCATCAGGGAAAGCACACCAGTGGCTTCTCTCACAGAAAGGGCTCTGGCTTGAGTTTTTGTTACCTCTACTGTGCCTCTTCCCTCTGGCTCAGTTTTGAAAGGGCAGTATCAAGGTGAGTGGGACTGACTCTTTGAAGCATAGTTATATGACTCTATAACTTGGATAATAATATATTAAATATAAATGAGCCAGTCCAACTGTACTTTAGATTTCTCAGGCAATTTTCATTTTCTATCTTCGAGTGTTGGACAACTTGAAACATTTTGCACTCTACTTTTTCTTATCTCATGGAAATTGAATCCATACCATGTCTTATTACTTTCTATTTGTAGCAGCAAAGAACCATTTATTTCAGACTTGTAGGACATTCAAAAAAACACTTAATTTAAGACATTTTATGAGACTTAAATATAATTTTTAATGACTCAGTGATGGTAGCTATGAGAAAATTGATTAAATCTACTACTTTTTAAATATGACTTGACACACTGATGCATTTTAATGAGATAAGCATCTAGTCAACTTTGCTTAGAACTTTTCATAGGTCTCTTTCACAAAGCTTTTCTTTATTATGTAGTTTGGGGGAAAGTACTTCAGGCCTTTCTGTCTTAGCCTTGAAACACAGCGCACACCCTGTTGTCACGTCCACGCTAAATTATTTTCCCTCTAAGAAATCTAGACAAGATGAAGAGGTTAAAAATTCACAGCAAGGATTTAGCTCTAGGGAGAGCAGAGGCAGTATAATTCCAAGCCAGTTGCTCTGTCTGGGGAAAACATCCTTCACAGGTATTAAAGCGCAGAGCCCAGCAGTGGTCCGGGCTTTCAAGAAGGAGTCTGTAAACCACAGAAGCAAGCTACCCAAGTTTTAATCATCATACATTATACTTAGTGGTTTCTGTAATGTCCTCGATAGTGTGCTGCTTAACCATTTAATTGTGTCTGACAAAGTGATGCAGTTGCTAGGAGACCATGCTCGTTAAGCTATCATTGCAGCCTAAACTGGCAATGTCATGTTCATTTAGCATTTCAACAATGCTGCTAAGCAGTCAAAGTATAGAATTGTCCAATTGATCCTTGCTTTTAGGTGTCACTCTTTATACTACCTTATAAGTATGTAGATCAACATCACCAGCCCATTTCATAAATAAGAACAGGAAAGCAGAAAGAAGCCAGAATCTGTTGCCTAGAGAGAGGCAGGCTAGTGGAGGGGTTAGGAGCACTGGCTCTGCAATTCTGCTCCCTGAACTTGAATTTTGGCTCCAACACTTCCTAGCTATGTAACTTTACATGATGTATTTAACCTTTTTTGTGCCTTAGTTTCTCCATCTAAAATAGATAGTAGTTCCTACATCATAGGGTTGTGAGAATTGTCTTCCAGGCATAGTAATTATCATTATATATTCATTAACACATTTTCTCCTTCATTCAATTCTATGAATATTCCTCATTTTACAGATGGGAATACTGAGCTACAGAGGAGTTATATAACTTGCTCAAACTGGCAGATGTCAGAGCCAGGATTCGGATTTGGACAGGCTAGCTCCAAAGCCTGAATTTTTAACCGTGATTCCATATTGATATAATGCCTGTAAAGCTCTCAGAACAATAGAACACATAATAAGTTCTTCATAAATGTTAGCTATTATTCATAGCAGTTATTTAGAAGAGGCAGTCTACAAGTTAGTACCCTGAGACTGCCTGCGAAATAGTTGTTTTACAACTCAATTAGTCAATTTAGGGAACTGGGTGTCAAAGTGTGTACTGACTTGAGTTGCAATGGGTGGTGTTTTCCTCAAGAGAACAGTCGCCTCTTGCTGACTCCTGCACCTTCTCCTCAGAGTATCATGTGCTTCTTCCAGAGCCAACTCAGTCACCTGGAACCCTCACAAGATGATGGGCGTGCTGTTGCAGTGCTCTGCCATTCTCGTCAAGGAAAAGGTCTGCACCCCATCTAGAGATGAGCTGGTGGCCTGCACATCCTTTAGAAGGCACAAGAAGAGAAAAGCACGGGGTCTTCTTCACAGCACTTGCTGATGTACTCACGAGATTGACTGCCCCATTGGGACTACCGTTGCTGTTCTTTCCTGCCCTTATCTGTTAACCTTTAGCTAACCTCGTGCCTCCTCCAGGCTCTTGCTCTCTGCTGCCTTTCTTCCTATTTCAGTGCTCAGGGCCCTGTCAGTGACATAAAGCTATTAAGCATAAGGATATTATTTCATTTCATATTCTTTTGTGTTTGTACAAAACAAAGTGAGATAATATCCTTATGGATAAGGATAACATCCTTATCCATAAAGCATAAGGATATTATTTCATTTCATATTCTTTTGTGTTTGTACAAAACAAAGTGAGAGCCATTGGATGAAATATCAACTCTCATCTTAGCAAGGACAAAAAGTGGTCACTGGAACACACTTTAAGTTCTTAGCATGAATTTGTGATCCCAAGAGCTGAAATAAATTGGGTCAGCTTTACATATTACAAATGTCAACTCAGAGCAACAAGGAATTATTGACCAGAAGCTTCTGTAAATGAGTTAGTAGTTTATTCCCTTATCTAAGAATCTAATAAAAGGACCCTGCCCTCCAAAGCATTGTCGCTCCAGTAGAACTTTTGCATGCCGAGGCATTCCAAAAAATCCGTCACCAACCTGTAGGAGACAGAACCTGCAGAAGCTGTATTCCACTCCAAAGTTAACTTTATAGGAGACCTGGAAGATATTGGAGACACTCTTGAGGAGGAAAATTCTTCAAAACATGAGACCATCTCACCCACTGTAGGAAGTTTATAACCCAAACTGCTGCCCACTGAATGCCATAGCACTTCTCAGACTTTGAAAAAACCCAAAACACACTCACACATTTCCGAATGCCCCTTAGAGAGACAGCGGGGCCCTTGTTGTTTGTATCTAAGTCAGAAGATTATTTTCTAATTAGAATGACAGAGGGAAAGGGGCAAAAGTTCTTCCAAGGGTGGTTTTAGAGAAGGATGTCAGAATGAGACCCCATAAGACATTAGAAAAAAAGTTGCATGCAACCCCAAGTCCAACTAGTCCTGTTTTGAAGCCATCTACATCTCTAACCCGTGAACACAGATGCATGTCTGTCTTGATTTCCCTGATAGGGGATACTCCAAGGATGCAACCAGATGTGTGCAGGATACCTCTTCCAGCCAGACAAGCAATATGATGTCTCCTATGACACTGGGGACAAGGCAATTCAGTGTGGCCGCCACGTGGACATTTTCAAGTTCTGGCTGATGTGGAAAGCAAAGGTATGAAAACGGGAATTCGGGAAATAGAGCAGAAATGTAATTTGTACAGGCTAGCTGGCAAAATAGAAGCAAACATATATCAGATAACTCACTATGTGTTCAATCAATATCTAGATAATTGAGCTAACTGTATTTTCTTTGTTTGCGAATGAAATCAGTTTATCCCTAATGTCAAATTCTCCCTCCTTCCCATTCAATCTCCTCAATTTGAATTAGCATGAAGTTTTCTTATAACTTTCTCTTATAACAACTAAAAATAATGCCAAGATACGACTCCCACAGCAATCCTTAGGGATGCTGAAA